AGAAAAGTTATGAGGGTTTTAAGTTATAACCTTAATCAACTTGCATGTGGACATTGAATTTGCCAGATTTTATCAAAATGCCTTTTACCAGGGAAAGTAATATATATATATATATTATTTGTTTACGAAACTGATACTCTGCTTCTCATCACACTCATCATTGTATCTAAATACACTTTTAAGCAATCTAAATTTTGTTTAAAATCTATTAAATTTGGATTAACTAATACTATCAACATAGTTAGCTGGATTATTTTTTCACACATTCCTTTGTATTAAAATCAATTATGTTGTGGTTTGATGCAAGACCTTTTTGTTTGTTTTGGTGGGAGAGGCAAAGTCCAATTTCCTAGCGTGCTAGTACAGTTCTGGTTGCTGAAGACAAAGTTGGGAAGGAGGCTGGTGGAAAAGATGTCAGGGGTAAGTGAGGCAAGAGGTGGGGGGAGGAAAAAATTGATTTAATAAAAAAACAGTAAAGAAACTTTAAAAAATTGATATAGGTTTCACATTCAGTCTAACAATACCGCTTCCTGTTCCTTTTTGATGGAGGCTAACACTGCGTTATCAGTCTCTGTGGCTTCTGTGTCCCCACCACCTAGCAAAATGGAGCGGTCTTCTTCTAGCGTAAAGACAGAGTTTTGATTTTGGCACGAATGTTTGACTACTTCATTGGGAGTTGAAAACGTTTTGTCACACAAGTTACATTTGTAGGGCTTGTTGGTCTGTACTAGCATGTTGTCCATTTGACTGCCTTCCTCAAAAGTACAGAGTTCCAGAGTCTGTTTGTCCACCATCGTGTACGTGTCCATGCTCTGGTTTAGGCACACGTGTCTGGCAGCCTGGTTAGCCCTACAAAAGCTTTTGTCACAAGTGCTGCACTTGAAGGGCTTGCCAGTGTGTATGTACATGTGCTCCCTCCAGTGGCTTTTCTGAATAAATTTCCGACCACAGATGGAACATTCATATTTCCGCCTTTTTACTTCCCTCTCTTGATCTGCCTGCTCCAAGTTGTCTATGTCTGCAATATCGGAGGGTGGCGGTGTCTCTGACTGCTGCTGCCCATCAATTATTGGGGAGTCTGAGATCTGCTGCAGCTCGCTGTCACTAATCATCCCGGCTTCATGCACTTCCACAGCATCTTTATCAGCTGTGTTGTTACAGAGAGACAAAGAAATATTACTTTCTCCCTGCTGGCTAGATGTGAAGGGAACTCCCGTGTGGATCTGCAGGTGCTCACGCAAACTACTTCGCAAATTGAACCGGCGACCGCAGAGGTGGCAGGCATAGTATTTTGGGAAGCTTCCATTCCTTTTCATAATGCTTGGCTTGACGTGTGCTATCGTGAGTGAGGAAGGCTGTTCATCTGAAGAAGATGCTTCCATGTTGACCTCTTCTCCTGCAGGTGAATTATTACCGGCAGCAGATACCAGTTCCGGAGATGGCAATGGGTCAGAAGCAGACATATTTGTCCGGGTCACTTGTGGTAGATTTGTAGCTAACTGCGAGCCTTCAGAAACCTGCTCTTGGTTCATCCGTGATGTCTGTGGCCTTGGTTCTCGCCCGAGTTTGTCAGTCGCTGATGTAACCTTAGTGGGATGTCTTACCTGGTGATCTGCAATCTGAATGCCATATAATGAAGATGCTAATGGAAAAACTTGATCCGGGTGAGAAAAAGTTCCCTGACTTGCAAGGCTGGCCTCTTGAATTAGTGGATATGCGTGCAGAAACTTTATTCCCTGTTCTAGTCGAACTGGGTCAATGAGTTGTGGTGCCATCTTCCCAGTGTACATCAAATGCAAGAGATAACTGAAGATATCTGGCTGTATGTCAGTCGCTTTCAAACGGACACATTCACTGAAAGGTGAAACAAAATGATCACTAAGAGATAAGGAAAATATTTTTTTACCAGATCTAGGTTATTTAAGCATTGATAAAAATCAGAGGCATCTACTTAAAATCAAACAGAATTTGTAATAAATACAGAGAAACGCTTTAGTGTAAAAGAGCTGATCTTATTGGCCACTTGAAAGATGACATTTTTTTTCCTCAGGAAAGTAACTGGCTTGAAAGACAAAGCTGTTCCTTTGCAAGCTATACCCTTCTAAATTGCTACTATGTTATACACCTGTTGTCACATATTCATACATTTTGTAAATGGCAAAGATACTTTCTCCCTTTTTTTTGGTTGGGTTCAAACACGTCTGTAGCTAAATTAAAACCTGCTAGCTTCACAATCCATTGAACGTTTACTCAGCCCTGAGAACACCTAAAATTCAGCTGGCACTTGCCTGTTTGGCTGCTATGGCTTACTAGTGTTCACAGCTACAGTTCTGCAAATGTGTGGCATCACCTTGTCTCAACTGCACTACGATCCAGAAACCTTGCAGGGCAGGGTGTGAATCCCCTGAGGATCTGATGCAACAGGTGTAGCCTGAGCACATCTAGCCCGTGGGGGCCAGGCTCCTTACAAAGCAGAACGGTAGCTTTACTTTCCTTGAACAGGGGGAAGCAGCAGTAGCACCGGTGGTAGGCCTGGTCAGCCTAGGCTAGAGTGCTCAATAAAGCCAGACGCTTTGGCTGTGATGCCCTCTTCAGCCTGACAGGAATGAAACCAACACCATCCTCCAGCTGAGGGCATGCCCTGTGCATCAGCCTTTAGGATACTCTGGACTGAAACACCCACCACTCCTCTGCTGAAGCTGGATCTCTGTGCAGAAAGAGAGGCAAGGTTCACAGAAGGAAAAGAAAATCAGGCACATCTCGGTTAGGCCAGTTAGCTAACAGGAGAGGATCTGGGATTCTAACAGTTTTTCAGAGTTATCTGTAGCTCTTGTATTAAATGAACATTAAATAAAAGACAGAAATCTAGAAATGCGTGCTGCGGTCTGAATGCTCTAATCACAGTAGGCTACCAAGCTGAGGAGGAAATTATAGCCAATTCTTCCATTGCTTGAGGTGCACCCTTCTTGAGCTCTCTCTAACTGCTTTTTAATTCAGATATATTACTCAAAAATAAACTTTGCAATGCTGTCTTCCAGAGATGACTGTGTGGCTCTTCATGGAGCATCAAGACCAATACACCTGCCTGCATTCCTGTCTCAGAAGTGCAAATGCACTTCTGTCTTGATGTTTATTTTTGGCTAAGAACTCTTAGCCAGAGAGTTAAGAGCTTCACTCACTAAACATAAACTTTTTGAGATAGTTCAAATAACTGGGAAATAGAAAAGACAAAAAAACCCAAAATCTTTAAAACAGTCTTACACTTTTGTTATCTTTTCAATGCACAAAAAAAAAAAAAAGAAGAAACACATACCCCATTATTTTCCACCACTATAGTATTTTATTATTTAACTGACTTTGGGTAAACTGTAAAAAAAATGAAGGATATAAGTCCATTCACAATCACAATGGACTTTTTAAAGTCCGTTTCTCAAAATCTCCTGGCAAATACTTACTGGGTTGCATATAATGTTATGGAAATATCAAGAATAGTGCCAAGACAGAGCAGAGTATAGTGAGTGGGGGAAGGAAAGTGCGAGTGAAGACAGAATCCTTTAAATGTTCAGTTCTATGAATTCTATGCTTTTTTAAGGATAAGTTGTGCTAAATTATAACATTAGTGTTAATATATCACAGTTCAACTTTAACATGTTTTAAAGTGAGATTCTAGTGCAGGTAGGACCAGATTCCGTATTTCTTATGTCATAGCAAGAAGCAAAAAACATTTTCAGGTTTCAAAATGCTGCTAGACCTCCTTAGCTTAGCTAACTGAACAACATTTAAATAGTGAACCTTTTTATAGTTACCTGGTTTGATGAACAAACAACATCTTGAAGTAGTTGGAGAAAGAAGCAAGGACCGATTTGTGTGCCTTGAAGTAGACATCACCAATGGCAACTGTGCAGTCACACAGGAAACCAAACTCTCTCTGAGCGTTTAGTTGTTGCAGCAGAATAAGTCCATGGTTGGCCAAATCCATTTTTTCACACTCTGAAAAACAAATGACTTCCATGTAAATTAAAACTCAACAGTAGATGCACCAGTAGATGTCTCCTAACAGATATTTTCATCTAATATCCCTATGTCACGCTTTAGTAACACCTCTTGATCGCAAGCTGCTGTGTAAATGACATTTTACATGTAGGTGAGGATCTCTGTTTCCTGATGGGCAGTGCCGTTCACAAAGGTGCAAGGCATTTGCTGAGGCTTAAAGAGCAAAGCGGAGCCAGGACTAAAAGAGTTCTGAAAAGGCATGGGGAGGGGACTTGAATACAGAAACATAAATAGCTAAAGCAGAGGAAGAAATATTAATGAGTAGTAAAACCACACATTTGTAATGGGAAGAACAAAGTATTTTGGCTGCCACTCATGTGTTCAAACAGGAAAAATACATTTCCCATCTGGTATCAGTCACTCTCACCTAAATGGGTGGGAGAGACAAGAGCAGAACCCAATAAAAGCCAAGTTAGATACTTTCAACCTGAATTTTCAGTGTCTCTGTATATTTCTTACCTAAAAGTTATGTATCCATCCATCTGAATCCAAACCCAACATTAAATAACTTAGCATTTCTCATGGTCCTGGGAAATACCAGGTACACACCTGAGTCTTCCCAGGCTGAAACAATGAATTCATTCTTGGCATGGGCAAGCCCTCTGGCCTATTAGAGCAGGAGAGGCCAATCTTTTCACTCAACAACTATTTATTTATTTATTGAGATCAGCTCCAACAGCATTTTGTAAGGAGTCTGCATGCTGGAGTGCCTTATGCTTACCTAGCAAATCAAGAAACCCAAGGGGTGAGAGGTGTGGTTCTGTTCATCGCTGGCCATCAGCACAAGGTAAGATAACCAACAGTGGAATGTGGCACCAACCTCAGCCCCCCTACACCAGCTTCTGCAGCCCCCCAGCACTTCCTTGTACCAGCTGCTGCAGGCTGCCCTCAAAGAGCTACGTAAGAGTGAGAAACTTTTTCTCAAGGATTCGAGGGTAGCCTTGGAAGCAGTAATTGATAAATTTGGGAAAAAAATAGCCAGGGAAACACATTAGGGCAGTTGCATATGGTTGGATGGATTAATATACAGCTAGTAAGACCAACAAGTGGATATAAACTTAAACTAATAGAGCTTTGGGCAGAAAAAGTGAAAGTATGAAGTAATGCAGGGCTGTACGTGGCCATGTAAAACAGAAAGAGAAGTCAACAGAACGCCTGTGCACGTTATGCCCAGAACAGTGCATGTGCTCTATGAACAGAAAAGGTAAGGTGAAACCAGGATGAGTGGATCAAGAGCAGTAGAATTGCAAAAAGTCTTGGCTTTTTTCCCCTCCACATTTAATAGGAAGTTAACAAAATTTTAAGATGGTACTAACAGCTTGTTTCTTCTACACAGTAAGAGTGTGGCTTTTTGGGAAAGAGAATAAAAGTGTATTTCCTGTATGCCAATATGTTTAGTCATTAGAGAAACAACTATTTCTACTTGCTGTCGAGTGAAGAATGCCCTTGTATTTAAACCAAAAACCAGGCTGACCAAATGCATTCCTTTGCATTCACATGAGATCTGAACTTGTTTGAGTCAGGAGCGCAAGGGCAGAGAAATAAATAAAATTTAAGATACAGTTGATTATTTTCTTACAGTTAACAAGGGAAAAAGATCAGCTTCCAGCTCTTTTCAGGTCCATCCTCTCCTCCCTACATTACTGTTTGAATAATTATGTTTGTACGAAGAATATGCTAAAATACTCTCCCTCTCTCCAAAAGAGGGAATACTTGCTGTCAGCAATAGCAAAAATCTTGTTAATCGTTATTTAATCCTGCAAGATGCTCCATGCAGGTAGACTTTGTGATGTTTCAGAAAACGCACCAAGTTGATTTTTTTTTTTTTTTTGTAGCTTTATTTTAGATTACTCTGTGTGCGCTTCATCCTTTAACTCATCAGTGTTGAGTCTGGACAGCAAAGCTTGTGAGGCAGAGCAAGCCATCGATGCGAGGGAACTCCAAGCCAGAAAGGCATTCTTTCTAGTTTAGCTTATAGTTTCACCCTTAAACTGAAGTCACTGTGGCAGTTGAAGCTGCTACCCCTCAGAGACCCGAACTAGTCTTTTCACAAAATGATACAGTGTTCATACACATGTGCAACACTACATTTTTGCGTGTATTTAGGAGATACTTAAATGCTTTAAACTGAAAGCACTAGAAGAACTACACTCCAATATATGTTAAGAGGAAAAGAGTAAAGAAAGTGCTTTGTCTCTTTTACATACATGTAATACGCAGTATGTTATATGTATGCATATGTTCAGGAGCTTTACCCTTTGCTAAATAAAATACTGTGATTACCACCAGCAAGGCTGTGTTTCAGCATCGACCGGCTCAACAGCCGTGTTCAATAGTTTTTGTGCCCCAAACCTTACAGGGACGGTCCCTCCACCGCACGGCTGGCAGGCTGGCCTGCCTCACCTTCACCACCGCTTCGGAAACCACCCAATTTGCTCAACGTCCGTAAAAAACCAGGCGAGGCGGAGTCCTTTCTGAACACGCACGTTTATTTCCGAGACCGGAAAGCCAA